CTACCACTTGAAGAATCCCCAGCCTGGCCTGGGCATTGGCCATGCTGACTGGAGATTCTGGGACTTGTATTCCCAAAAATAGCTTTCTCAAGCTGCGATTATGTCTATAGACAAAGTGTAATTAGATATACTTGTACATGCCTTATATAATTACTCTGAATTTAGTATGTTTATCTGTGAAGTGTGAAGCTTTTTGATATTTTGACAAGTTTTATCTTTCCTTTCATTGTATATGTATTTCCTAAATTCAAAAGTATTGAAACAAGGGCAAAATGACTGAAACTGTGTGGGTTGAGTCCAAGCCCCACTGTCACCTCCTACAATAGCCCTTCATTTCTACTGTTTTTTTTTTTTTCTTCTTTTATTTTAGGTCTACAACAACAGGGTATTTTTAGAGTTCCTGGATCTCAGGTTGAAGTCAATGACATCAAGAACTCATTTGAGAGAGGTATGTGAGTAGCCTGTGATTCTTGTAAGTTTTCTTGGTGATATTTTCCTTTCCAGTTAGTCTAGTGTGCAAACTCTAGTAATATAAAGGTAGTAATATAAAGGTTAATGTTTATGCATCGGGAGTATTTGTTTTGACCAGCCTCTTGAGTGTTTCAGTTTTAAAGAAAGGCGATGGGTACTTTTAATTTTCCATGCCAGAAAAATGATGTACTCCATTTCTAGGTCTTTCAGAAGGTAATTTAAAGCCAATGAGGAAGGTTGAACTTGATCAAGGATCAAGGATTTTCCCAGGGTAACTGTCAAACCTTGTTTTTAGTGACCCAAGTTCAACTGAAGAGTATGGAGTATAATCAAGAAAAGAAGAGCCATCACCATGTGCCAAATGAAGTTTTTCTCCCTACTTCTTTAAAAAAAATTACTACATGACACCATACCAGTCTGCTTTCCAGATACTGTTGGACATCAGATCCAAACAGTACAACAAGTATGGCTAATGATCATGGCTGATGGAAACTTCAGTCTAACAATATGGGAAGGGGCACTGTTCTCCACTGGTTTTCATTAGTATGTGTTCACATCTACAGATAAAACAGATAAATCTGACTAACTTTACAGATTCAGATACAGATAAACTACTAACTTTACTGTTTCTCAGAAGCATTGTTCAGATACCAGGGGTAGGCAACCTTTTGCCTTTAAGGGCTGAGGAACTTCAGCTCCCAGAAGTCTCAGGGGGGTTGCAGACTTCCAGAAATAGTGCAAATTGAGTCCACTTTTAGGGTTAGGGTTAGTGCTAGGGAATCATGGGAATTGTTTTTTTTTCTGAGACATTGAGCCTTCTCTGTCAGAGAGCTCTGGTGCCACAATAAAATACAGTTCCCATGATTCCCTAGCCCTAACCCTAACCCTAAAAGTGGACTCAATTTGCACTATTTCTGGCAGTCTGCAACCCCCCTCAGTCATGTTGGCCAATAGTCCCATGTTGGCCAATAGCTCCTGGGATTTTGGGAGCTGAAGTCCCTTGGCCCTTAAAGGGGAAAGGTTGCCTACCCCTGAGATAGACACTGATACACATTTGAACCATTATGCTCTGCCATAGGTTTACTCACAGATTGAGTGAGGCAGACTTAAACTTAGTAATACTTTGCATAGAACTATGAAAATCAGTAATGAGTCTGTGTTAGTTATGACTAGATTGTCCCATTTATTTTGATGGGATAATCAAAACAAGCATGACTAAGTCCAAATGCAGTATGTTATATTTATATGATAAATATAATGTTGTATTTATATAACAATGCTTTGTCCATAGCAGCATGTTATTGTATGCCAATTCCATGTTCTCTGTTAAGTAGAGGGTGGCTTCAAGAGCATCAAGTAACAACACGCATTTGGACTTCATGAAAGAGACAACATTCTCACTCTCTTTTTTCATTCTTCTTTGCTACAATGGTATACAGTGTTTTCCTTTTGAAAGCCTAGAATGTTATTTTTATGAAGTAATCAGTACCTAGTTGACATTATAGTTGCACTTTTAAAATAAATTTACTTGTCAAAAGTAATTAAAATTGTTTTAGTTCATATTTTAAAACCCCCAATGCTCCAAAAATTAAAATAGGGTATAAAACACTGTATTTTCCTTTATATTTGTTTCAGTGCCCACAACTGAGCATAAGACATAGTATGACCCAGTATTTGAAGTGGTGATACTCCTCTTCTACCATTTAGTAAGACCACACCCCTGTAATAATAAAATTAACTAGAAGTTATAGTTGCACTACAAAAGAAGTGAAGTACTGTAATCTCTTCAAGTTACCATTGCAGTGTAATTTAGTTACACCATTGTTATTGAGGTAAGGAATTAATTATTTTTTTATTTCTTTCCTTTGTATCCCACTTTTCTCCTTATACAGAATCCAGGGCAGCTTATAAACATATAAAAAAGGATATAGTTTTAAAATTATTCATACAAAATATAAAAACAATTAAATGATAGTTCAATTTAAAAACACAAGATTAAAACAATATAAAACACAATTGAAACACAATTGAAAAGTAGATAAAAAGATAATAATACCATTCCATTAAAAGGTTTTTTTTGTCACATAAATTATAAATTATAAGGCAAAGGCCTACTTGAATACAAAGGTCTTTGCCATTTGTAACTAGAACCACAGAATCATAGAATCATGGAGTTGGAAGAGACCCCAAGGGCCATCCAATCCAAACCCCTGCCATGCAGGAACACAAAATCAAAGCACTCGCAACAGATGGCCATCCAGCCTCTGTATAAAAATCTCCAAAGAAGGAGATTCCACCACTCTCCAAGGGAATGTGTTCCACTGTCAATCAACTCTTACTGTCAGGAAATTTCTTCCTAATGTTGAAGTAGAATCTCTTTTTCTGTTGTTTGAATCCGTTGCTCTAGGTCCTATTCTCTGGAGCTGCAGAAAACAAATTTGCTCCATCTTCAGCATGATATCCCTTCAAATATTTAAACAGGGCTATCATATCACCTCTTAATCTTCTCTTCTCTGGACTAAACATATCCAGCTCCATAAGTCTCCCCTCACAGGGCATGGTTTCCAGAACTTGCATTCCTATCGACACACTCCAACTTGTCAGCATCTTGTCAACTAGTTATCTCTAGATTTATTCTTGCTTAAAAGGAAAATAGAATCTAATGTTAGAAATAAATATTTTCACTATCCAGGTGAAGATCCCCTTGCTGATGATCAAAATGAACGTGATATCAATTCTGTTGCTGGGGTCTTAAAGCTGTATTTCCGGGGATTGGAAAATCCACTCTTTCCTAAGGAAAGGTTTCAAGACTTGATCTCTACTATTAGTAAGTACATCAGTTGACTGATAATAAAATCAGCTTCTTAAATTCTGCACATTGTGATCTTTTGTTTATCTAGGCCCTAGGATATAAAGTGAAGGAAGTGCTTGCTCATTTATGTCTTAGCTGACAATTACTAGACAGTTTGCATTTTATCCATTGTGGTTACTCCAGACCAAAATGACTTCCCTCATACCACTCCCTTTTTCAAGGCATTGAAGTTTGGACTTCAGCTGAATGTTAGCATCACTTCCATTTTTAGACCTTGACCAAAATTACATTCTAGTCTCTGGCACCCTGTTGAAAAATAAAAGCTTAAAATTTCTTATGTATTCAGATGCTAGAATGTATAATTTCATATGACTATTTCAGGGCTGGGCAACAATGTTTCCTCAAGGGTTTTTATTCTTCTTCTCTTCTTCACTTCAGTTTTTTTTGTTTTGGTTTCTGTTTTTTGTTTGTTTGTTTGTTTGTTTAACCTACTTGAGATAATTCAGTTCGACTGAACTCTGTAGGTACTCTAGTCATTTGTTTATGTTTAAAGAGCCATTGATTTCAACACAGTCCATTTTCAACTAAATTGTCATACAACACTATACTGTTATAATACTGTTATTCCACTTTAACTGCTATAGCTGCCTTCTGTGGAATCCTGGGATTTGCTGTTTAAGGAGGGGCATTTACAATTCTCAATCAGAGAGCTCTTTTTGAGGTGGTGGTGTGCCTTCAAGTCATTTCTGACTTATGGCAACCCTAAGGTGAGCCTATCATGAGGCCTCCTTAAACTACAAACCCCAGAATTCTACAGGAAGTAGCCACAGCAATTAAAGTGGAATAATAGCACTAAACCAGTGTAGTGTGATACTGACCTTAGGTGCAGAATGTCAGGGTGAATTTGCACTCAGAGCAGAAAATGTCACAGATGCTGCAATGGAGAACAAAGGTGAAAGATAACCTGAGTTCAAAAGGTACCATGATGAGTGTGCAAAATTGAGAGGTGATGAGTGACAGGAAGATGATGACACCTCAGCAGGAAGCAGTATCATGAAGCTTCAATACTACAAAAAGTCATGAAGCAGTATCATGAAGCTTCAATACTGGAAATCGTGGGACATACTGGTTCGGGGTTGGACAGAGTAAGTACAGTAGAGGCAGAGAGTGTGTATATAAGGGGGGGATCTGCCACTGTACAAGAACTTGGTGAATATTGGATGGTGGCAGAGCATTATGTCAGTTTGTGTAATCTATTGCTGTAAAGTATTTGTAAATAATGCAACCAAGATTAAAGCCTCTTCAAGAGAACTCAGCTGTCGTGAGTAAAACTCTGTGGGACAAGGAGGATTTCTTCATCCTGCACCACTTCCAGAGGTTCCACTGGCTTTTGGTTCCTGGCAGCCAGTCTTCTGCATGCATGGATTTCGGGTCCCACCAGTGTAGTGTGGTACTGACCTTAGGGGCCGAATGCTAAAATAGCTGCCTTAAATTAGATTTGTATTTGAATATGTTAGAAAGCGCAGCATTTTGGCTAGCTGGGGAAATCAACAGTCCTCTTGTATGTACAAAAGTCTGTTCTCTTCTGCATATTTTATGTATTTGTTGTTGTTATTGTGTGCCTTCAAGTAGTTTTTTTTACTTATGGCGACCATAAGGTCCATATCTGGGGCTGAGTGTGTGTGTGACACACCCAAGATCACCCAATGGGTTTCCATGGCTGAGCAGGGAATCGAACTCTGATCTCAGAGTCATAGTCCAATGCTGAAACACTACACCACTCTCTCTATATATATATGATACATAAAATCAATTCATTGGAGAGATGTCTCTGCCCTTGCCCTCAAGTACCATCAAATGCTAGTAGTTCACACATTATCCTCTAGCTGTATCTCCATCTAGCTGCTCTGTACAATCTTCCAGAACAGTAATGTGTTTAAGCCAAAATTTAGTCAAACCACTAAAGAAATGGTTGCCAAATACTGTATGACTGACTTGGATTACTGAACAGGAACATGTTGTGTGCCTTCAAGTAATTTCCAACCTATGGTGATTCTAAGGCCTGGGGTTTTCCTGGCAAGATTTGTTCAGAGAGGGTTTGCCTTTGCTTTCCTCTGAGGCTAAGAAAGTATGACTAGTGCAAAGTCATACTTGCACTAGTGGGTTTCTGTGGCTGAGTGGGAATTTGAGACCTGGTCATAGTCCAACACTGAAACCACTGCACTACACTAGCTCTCACACAGGAACGTACCACACTAGAAATCATAGATATGTTATGAACTCCATCCCTATGTGTACACATGCAAGCATGTGCATATTTTTCAATATACTAATAAATTTAGGTTGTGTATCCACATGTTTGGAATTACAGCCCCCATAATCCCCAACCAACATGACAGTTTGTCAAGGATAATGGGAATTGTGGTCCAAAACATTTGGAGGGCACCATGCTACCTATCCTTGCTATTCAAGCTCTGATTTAAACAGAAGAGTAGATTGAATGAGAGCTGCTCAGCCCAACTGGTATCCTCCTTTTATCTGAAATTATGTGCAAGGACAAAAAAAAAAAAAAATCAAGAAACATAGGAGCCAAAAATGGCATTTATAACCTCATGTGCCAATGAAGAGAGCAAGGCTAACAGTGCAGAGCAGCCTTTTCCTCTTTAGAGCTTGAACTGTGGCACAAGAGAAAGCTGATTTGATTTCCCTTGGCTCATGCTAAATTATGCTGAATGGCTTTTGGCAGTATATAGTATTGTTCATGTCGCAGGGCATTTGCATACCTCAGAAGTCTGCAGTGCCACATGATCTGCTGCTAGGTGCATGGCTGGTTGGGAAGGCAGTATCTTTCTTTCCCACTCTTCTAACCAGCAGAAGGCTAGCTGTTAGCATTGGCTGGAGTGAGGACTATGGGATTACCATAAAATCTCTCAAATGGGAGACAGCAACAAATGTGAATAACTGTGGATCAAAAATGTTACACCATAGAATCATATTCAGATGGTAGGTGGATCAATTATAACTGCACCCCTCTATCCAAAGTGCTTATAAAAATAGGCTGAGGGCCTTTGCAGACTGCCAGAAATAGTGCAAATTGAGTCCACTTTTAGGGTTAGGGTTAGTGCTAGGGAGTCATGGGAATAGTATTTTTTCTGAGACATTGAGCCTTCTCTGTCAGAGAGCTCTGGTGCCACAATAAAATACAGTTCCCATGATTCCCTAACCCTTAAAGTGGACTCAATTTGCACTATTTCTGGCAGTCTGCAAAGGCCCTGAGTCTCCCTTTTATGAACTGCTTGGGATTAGAAGTGTTTTGGATTTTGGAATGTTTGTATGTACATAATAAGATGTCTTGGAGATGGGACCCGTCTAAACATGAAATTTATTTATGTTTTTCATACACCTTATAAACATAGGCTGAAGGAAATTTAATACACAATATTTTAAATAATTTTATGCATAAAACAAAGTTGGTGTACACACTGAAACGTCAGAAAGCAAAGGTGTCAGTATCTCAGCCACACATGTGGACAATTTTGGATTTTGGGATATTTTGGATTCTGGAATTTCAAATAAGAAGGGCTTAACCTGTATTTCTAATATTTTTCATTTATTGATCACTACTTTGAAGAGTATTATGGCCCCAAAAGCAGCATGGAGATATAGATAGATAGATAGATAGATAGATAGATAGATAGATAGATAGATAGATAGATAGATAGATATAGATATTAAAATAACATTAAAGTTATAATGTAAAAGTGATATAAAAATATTCTTTATTTTTGTTTAAATAACTATTAATGCACAACACCTCCCCACCCAGCTTTTGTTAATATTGTAAAGCTGCCAGAGGAAAATGTAGCTGAACTAATCTATAAAATGCACTTGTCCAGAAAGGAAAACCTAATGGCTATAGCTCTAACTATGCTGGCTATAACTGAAAACAGTGTGCTGAAGGAGATAGGCGTTTTGTATGATTTTGTGAGGCTGTTATGTTCCATCATACTTGTACATAAATAAGTCTTTTAATTGGCTTTCTGTTAAATTAGCAACTTTTTGTGTACCATTTATGACTGAGCTGCCCTCCTGCAACTTTTAATTATCCTTTCTTTTTCTGTTGATATGGTAAATTGTATACAGAATATCTTACTATGTTTGTTGCTAGACTACAGTGTTCTTATTGGGGTGGAACTCACCACTGCTTTAGCTGGAAAGGTTAACCTGGGTCCATTTTGCACTCCATAGTTATAGTGCTATGATTCCATTTTAATCTCCATCTGTCCATCCCATGGAATCCTGAGATTTGTGGTTTGGTTAGACAATACTCCTCCCTCAGTTGCAAATTCCAGGATTCCACAGGATGCAGTTGTGGTGGTTAAATTGGAACCACAGTATAATTGTGTAGTGTTAAAGGGCCCCTGGTCTGCAAAGAAGAGCGTCTGTCTCACAATATAATAATAGGTGCAGTGAATCAAGGACTGGTTGTAAAGTTCTCTTTTCCTCCTACATGCATCTTATTGAAACAAGCAAAACTTCTCAATAATTGGTCTAGTTATTGTGTGGGTGTATATGTGGTGTTTGACCTTAATGGGCTTTTGCAAATTCTTGCCTTACAGAAATTGAAAACCTTGCAGAAAGAGTGCATCAGATACAGCAAATCATTATTACTTTGCCACGAGCTGTCATCATTGTCATGAGATATCTCTTCGCTTTCCTCAACCAGTGAGTCCCTTCACTAGTTGTTTACTTTTTAAAAGATCTTTCAATTCCCTTCCCATTCAGTCTTTTCTTGATCATTCCTATTTCAGGATAGCAAGAAAGGAGGGGTGCCACTTGAACTGTCACTACCAATAATGAATACTTTTGGCCCAGCTGCAGGAAATGCCTGCAGAGCACTCTATGGGTCAGTAGCTGATGGCTTGGTGTGGTAACTGTGGGTTGCTTGTATTTGCAGCTTGTCACAGTACAGTGATGAGAACATGATGGATCCCTATAACCTGGCTATCTGCTTTGGACCAACATTGATGCATATTCCAGATGGACAAGATCCAGTGTCCTGCCAGGCTCATGTGAATGAAGTCATCAAAACCATCATAATCAATCATGAGGCCATCTTCCCCAGTCTCAGGGAGCTTGAAGGACCTGTTTATGAAAAATGCATGACTGGTGGGGAAGAGTACTGGTAAGAATAGTCAGAATCAAATATGCTTTGAGCATCTTGAAAACATTAGGGATTTCTCTTTTTTTTTTTTTTAAATGGGAGACTCCTGTTTGACAACTGCAATTGATCTGAGCAGTGAGATGTTGCTGTGATATTACTTGGACCAAAATGGGTGGGGTTGCTGTACAGAATCCACATTTTGTAAAAATGTGTGTTTGGTATGACAGGTAGTGCTTTGGCAATTCTGAAATGCATTTTTTTGCAAACCCAACTTCCTTATGTTTACTGAGCAGCAAGGAATTAGCCATTATTTCCTCCTCATTTTATAATGTGTTATTTGCCCCAATTTAATTTTAGTGACAGCCCCCACAGCGAACCAGGTACCATTGATGAAGCAGACCATGACAACGGTACAGAGCCCCACACCAGTGATGATGGTGAGTATAGTTAGAAGCTGTGGAAAACTGAATCTGAGAAAAGCTTCCAAGCTTTGTGTGAGAAACAGCAGCAAGCATTTCATTCCTAATCAAATTACTTTGGACTAACATATGGCTGTTGGCCAAGGAAGATGTCTCTGTATTTGACTGTGGAAGCAGATAACTGATGGAGTATCTTGAGAGCTATGTAATCAAAGTAGGCCATATGGGAGCATACCAGGCTACTTATTTGCTTTGTAATTTCATTCCAAGGCATTATGGAAGTTGTCGTTATGCCTACAAGCTAGCCTTTCCCCCCCCCCCTCACAATTTGGCATAAAAGTGACATCTCTGGACTTTGTTTGTTGCTCTGTATTGTTTCACTGTTTGGGGGGGTAAAAAAAACTCATCTTGTTTGATCTCAGTAATCTGCTCTGTTTGAAATGTTACATCAGTTAAACAAGCTGAAGGGCTGTTCTTGCAACAGTTGTTCACATAGTTTCATTTCCAAGACAAGATTTGTCTTTGTATTATGCCATCACTGGTATGTGCCCATAGTAACACAGCGAGGTTGTATGGATATGACAATTAAACTTATGCATCAATAGTAAGGAGGACTGAGCTAAAAATACTCAAATATATGGGAAAGATATTTTCAGCAATGTTGAAAAGCATTCCATTTTAAAAATTATTTTTCATTAATTTCTCTCATGGTGTTCACTATTCATTTCCATTGTTTTTTTTATTTGTTATAACTCATTTTTCTCAATGGTGTTACCATCATAATAAAATACATAGCTTTATAACATCATTACATTTGTTTATGTGATTCCTGATTAGTTGTGACTAACGTAGTAAACATTATTCTCACTTTTAATTGTCTTTATTTGCCATCATTGTAATGTGGTTATATAGTCAAATCCTGGCTGTATAACACTAGAATGCAATCATACGATATGCTCCCTCTTAGGGTAAGCTAACCAATGTCACTGTTCTAGAAAGAGAAATAAATGAGAGAAAGCACTATCAAAGTGAAAAAATGTCTTTGAACATAGTAAGAAAAAAGGCAATTACTCTTACAGTTGAAGCATTTCTTAAGAAATATTTCTATGCATTTTAATAGTAATTTTCAAATCAGTAATTAAAGGAAGAACAGTCTTAAGAAGCTCCATTAGATTCTCTCATTTCAAGTTGTATTTCACGCTTA